AACTCACGCCACATTCTCCCCGCAGCGTTTAGGCAGCTGTTCCCTACCGATTCAAACAGGGCTAAGCAATCGCCACACAATCCCCATTTCTCCAGACCATAATTATTGTTTGTAAAAGAAAACAGCCCAAAATGATTCAATTATCCAGACCCTAATCCCACGCAGGATGTATGCTTCGTAATTAACGGACAATGCATATGGTCAAAATCAATGTAATTAACACAATGACAAGAGCGAACTCACAAGAACCAGTCACATATTTACAACAAAGCATGACAAAACAATCCAGCAACACTCACACTAAAGAGCAAGGGCCATTCAAATAGTATTTACATCAGGGAACACTATCCACAAGCGACACGATAGGCAAAATTAACACACTGCAGATGTAAAGAAAACAAAAGCAGTTTCACTTACCAAATGCTGTTCTATTTGTCCAGACAATCGTAGAATCGTAACATAAAGCCTTATAACAAAGCGTAATATAGGATAATCTCATCACTGGTAATCAAGGTTAGGTAAAGTTAGAAAGATATTGACAGATTCGGACTTCCTGTATTTTAGCAACGTTTCGTTGACGATTTATTGAACCGGGAACCCGAATCTGTCAATACCTTTCTAACTTTACCTAAGTTCAACGGTTAAAGAGACCGTCTAATCAACAGGAGTCCGACCTGGAACAAAGATGGGCTTTTCCCCCCCGAGTTTTCCATCGAGACCTGGACTTTAATAGTGTTTGTCATCACTCTGATCACAGTGTAAGTAGCCTCTGTGGTGTTGTTTACCTCTGTCTTTTAAAACCTCAGAGACAGAGTTTGTACGCAACACGAGACAACTCCACATAACAAGCGCAAATAATTAATTTAGCTGTTTCGTTACAGTTAGTAGGCGTTCAGAGTAGTTTCAAACAACTGGTTTGTCAGGCGGAGTTGCTACGCAGAAGGAAAAACAATCAGGCAGCAGGAAGTGAATAGATGTGATTGTAGCCTGTTCTCACTGGTGGAGGTACTGCCCAAATATATATACTTTTTTAGTAACAAAACTGGGTTTTTTTATAACTAAATGCGCTCAATAATTCACATAGCATATTACATAAAACAATGAATATATGAAATCTGGATTCATAATGGCAGTTGGCGATGTGTGACTAATTGCAGCTGATATGTGGCAACACACTCTCTTTTGTCATTTATTTGGGAAGGTGGTCTTCGAGCCTGAAGTTAAAAAAAATGCTGAGAGCCCCATGGCCTGGGTCTACTTCCTGTTTCTATACGGAATATAAATACAAATGTTTATTTTAAATCATTTTTGATGCATGTTCTAATACATCTTTAGGCCCCTAACTTTTGCTCTATTTAGCAGCACTGTGAAACAGCTGTTTTTCAAACCACAACATTAAAAAAAAAAAAAGATTATGAAGCTGTAATTTGTCCCAACAGAGCTAAAAAGCCCCATGTGTGCAGTCCCACACAGTGAAGCGGTCTTATCAGCCAACATAATTAAAATCACCCGTGTGAGTCAAGCACAGAACCACATAATAGGCCCCTTTAACAGCAGCCATTTTGCCATGTCATTGTAGAGTAAAGGCAGGTGTAATTACACCTGTGTTTACCCTGCTATGACATGGCAAAATGGCTGCTGTGAAACGCTGCATTATATTTCAATAGACCCTTTTCGGGGCCGATACTTGGACGTGTCATGGCAGGAAAAACACAGGTGTAATTAATAACATTAACGATGGCTGTGTTTCATTTAAGTGAGCCAGTTTCGGAAGGCCTTGACTATTGGGACAGATATTGAACCAAGCTATCATTAACAAAATTCATTACATCATTACGTACAAGAAAGTTGATTATGTAGCAGGACCGGTTTGTTTTATAACTGCTACTTTTATATGTAAAGAATGAAACTGCTTACTTCTAAAAGCCACCTCTCAACTTATGATCACTGAAGAAGGGTTATGCCCAAAAAAACAATGCAGTAAAATAGGCCAATGACATTTTTTTCAAAAATGTCTTTCTTTAAACTTGCCCATTTTCTTTTGACTTATGATGAAAACAATTGACAATATGAAAGGAGATCCTTTCGGAGAATGCATGAAAGAAATAAAGTCTGGAAGAATTCATAAAAGAAGGGTAGATCAACGGAGGGATTTGGTCTCTGTTTTCTAATCCTGCTTTTAATCCTCAGGTATGGATATGCACCATATGGATTTTTCAAGAAAATAGACATCCCTGGACCCAAACCCATGCCCTTTATTGGGACATTTTTGGAGTACAGAAAGGTGAGACACATTTTTTAAATTAGAACAGTGGTCGCTGACGCTTTGATACCTTGTTCACACTGCTCTCATTTCATTCCCTATAGGGCATCCACAATTTTGACACAGAATGCCATCAGAAATACGGAAAGGTGTGGGGGTAAGAGTGCACGCAAAAATATTCCCTACTGTACATTTTTCCTGCTGTGCTCCAAGATACAACTGACACAATATCTGCTGTCGCATTACAAGGTTGTATGATGGCAGGCAGCCTTTACTGGCAACAGTGGACACAGCTATGATCAAAACCATCTTGGTCAAGGAGTGTTATTCAATCTTCACCAACAGACGGGTAAGGAAAAATACATTGTCGGGGAAATTTCCCAAATTATTACCTCAATACTAATCGAAGAACATAACGTAAAGAAGACATCCTCTCTGTGTGTGTGTGTGTGTGTGTGTGGGGGTTAGGATTTTGGTCTAAATGGACCCTTAAGAGACGCCGTGTCAATAGTGGAAGATGAGAAATGGAAGAGGATTCGCAGTGTACTCTCTCCGTCATTCACCAGTGGACGCCTGAAAGAGGTTAAAAAGCACACTGCGGCTTTAACATATTTGTAATGAGAAATATTGATTCACATGTGCACTAAAACCAGTTGGTCCATGATTCCGGTATGTACATATTTCATGATTTTAATGTTTTTGTTATTTACTTTTGGGCAGATGTACTCCATCATGTTGCACCACTCAAGTAATCTGTTAAAGACCCTTCGCAAGAATGTAGAGGCGGATGAAGTCATAGATGTTAAAGAGTGAGTAATGTGTTTGTGATGAGATTTGGACACAGACTCTTCACCTGTACTTTTCAGTTCTAGAGATGATTTTCTTATTTCTTAACACAAAACTTTGGATGGTTTCACGTCTTAGTTTTTCCTACATTACACTTTACCCCATTTTTTGCAGAGTGTTTGGACCCTACAGCATGGATGTTGTGACCAGCACTGCCTTCAGTGTGGACATTGATTCCATCAACCATCCATCCGATCCTTTTGTAGCAAACATTAAGAGAATGGTGAAGTTCAACATCCTGAATCCCCTGCTTGTGCGTATGTCAAACATTACGCCGTTTAATCAGATTGTTCAACTTGTCCCTTTGAGCCTTGAATTAACTATACATTTTGAATTCTTTTTCATTTCAGTTCTGTTTCCATTCTTGTCGCCAATTTTTGCGAAGATGGATGTGACATTGTTCCCTTCTGAAGTATTAAAGTTCTTCTACAGCTTTCTAAAGACGATCAAATCAGAATAAGAATGAACACAAGGTAATATTTATACAGTCTATTAGCTACAATGGATTTGATGTTGGTTTTTATATTTTGTGTTCATAACCTCTCCCTTGAACACAAACTGGAAAATCAAATAAGGATATCCACTTGTTTTTGTCCTCTAGAACCGAGTGGACTTCATGCAGTTGATGATGGACTCTCAGACGTGGAAGAGAATACGAGCTCCGGCAAAGGTAGAGAAAGAAACCAGAGGGGAGGAAGTGACGTTCAGGATTTTCTCTGTAGTCATGGCTGAATATTTAAAATTCAGGATATCAAGGGTCACTTTCTTAAGAAAAAGCCATTGCTTTTTATTATGCCCAAGTTGAATGTTAACGTCATTTTGCGTTCTGTCAATCACTGACGAGTAAATAGGAAGTTTGCAAGGAAGGAAGAGAGCATCTTTGTGACTGTTGAAGTCAAACAAAGAATCGGGTTAAAAATATCTGGTAAAACTATGAAGACATTATGACATGATTTGCAGAACCTTGTAAACAACAATTTCAAGTTGTTTTAAAAGGCTTCATATTCATCCAGAGCTCCGACGTACAGTCACCGTCTGTTTCCAGTTCTAGAATCAGAGTCAAAGACCAGTGACAACCCACTGAGTTAAAAAGGTTCATGTTAACAATATGAGTCTTTCCAGACCGCAGAGTTACAATGCATTTGTGTTGCAGGACTGACTGACAACGAGATCCTGTCTCAGGCTCTGATATTCATCTTTGCTGGCTATGAAACAAGTAGCACCACAATGGGATTTTTAGCCTACAACCTGGCAACTCACCCTCAAATCCAAAAGACCCTGCAAGAGGAGATTGATGAAACCTTCCCAGAAAAGGTTTATTTAAATTTTTTTTTACTGTAATTCAATTTTGTTTTTATCAGCAACTTATCCTCTTCTACCAACTAATGACTACTTTATACTCCAGGGTCAGCCAACCTATGAAGCTTTGATGCAAATGGAATACCTGGACATGGTGTTGAATGAGTCAATGAGGCTGTACCCTATTGCTAATCGATTAGAGAGAGTGTCAAAGTCTTCTGTGGACATTGACGGTGTGACCATCCCTAAAGGAACTGTCGTCATCATACCAATTTACACTCTCCATCGTGACCCTGTGTTGTGGCCTGAGCCTGAATCCTTCAAACCTGAAAGGTACTGCATAAATGGCAGGCTACGGCTACAGATTTGACACAATTCTAGTCATTTGGCTAATCAATTTAAAATATGTGTTCATTTTTCAGGTTCAGCAAAGAGAACAAAGACAGCATTGATCCTTATTCCTACCTACCATTTGGAGCAGGGCCAAGGAACTGTATCGGCATGCGATTTGCTCTCGTAATGATGAAGTTGGCCCTGGTGGAGATCCTCCAGAACTTCAGCTTTGTCACATGCAAGGAGACACAAGTGAGAGAACTTTCAGTATCTGTGGTCTTTAGGCAGTGACAGATGTTGGGTGAGATTGTATTTGAGCTTCCGAAAGGCTTCATTTGTGACACGTGTCTTGTTTTTCTAGATTCCAATGGAGCTGTCAAATTATGGATTCACCACACCCAAGGATCCCATCAAACTGAAGCTGGAGCCCAGAACCGCCACTGCAGATCCTCCCTCAAGCTAACTGCGTCAGGACACAACTTCAAATGACCGACCATCTTGTGACACTTTCAAAAAGGAATTCAATAACAACATTGACTATGCATTACATAATTACAAAAACAAAACTTGCCCAGCCAACAGCCTGGCTCCAAAAGCATCTTCTGATGTTTTCTTTTGTTTCTATGTATTCTAACTGAATATATGAATTTGTGTAATCTCTTTAATATAGAAGAGCGTGCTTTATGATAAATCACCATTGCTGTTCTTGCTTTTACTATCCTTGTATAAGTGCTTTTTAACAGCGTTTTAAACAAATACTATTATATTATATGGATAAGCCTGCAGAGAGTTTAATATGCTCAGGTATAGTTATCCAGCTTTGCTTGTTTCCATGTTGTTAGCAATTTGTTTTGTCCTCTTCACTCCTTATTTCACAAGTTTGAGAGGGTGGAGCTAAGCGCTCATTACAAAGTGCACCCGAGTGGGCCTGGCTCAGGAAACTATGTCAACAGGCCTCGTACACAACATTTTGACATTACTGATATTCTTGCAATCTCATTTGTGACTTTGTTTTCTATTTGCCTAATAAAAGTGCTCACACTTTAGTCTGCGTGGTCTCGCTGCTTTGTCACATTTTTGGAAAGGGTAATCCTTAAAATGTATCTAATTTATTGATCTGTAATCTTAGGCAAACAAGTTTTCCTTAGTTTGAAAATATAATCGCAGTTTTGAAAAGTAACTAAACTACTTGTACTTATGTCAAGGTACATAGTTTCTTTTGACAGTTTAGCAGAATAAGACTTTTACTTAAGTAACATTTTGAATTCAGGACTTTCAGTCTGGTGTGTACAGAGGTGAGAATGACATGCAGGCGTGTACGGTGATAAAATATTTGTCTTTCAGCAACAATAGGAACAGATCTTCTAACTAAAACGCCTCAAAGATCATGTTTCTGTTCCTGCTTTTCAATAAGACCGAGTCTAAAAGAAAAGGTAGAGAAACAAAAGAAGGGGATGTAAATGTTATGCCATTGCTTCAAGGTGCTGAATGGCACCATGACCTCACACACCCATATTATGTGACAAAACCAGCACTTCCTGCTCTGCTATTTTAAATCATGATCTCCAATATGTGGCAGGTTTGAAATAAGACACATTATGTTGCGATACTGCTAATTGGCCGTTAGGGGGCGATGCAACACAGTGAGAGACGATGAAAGCCCTCTCCCCCACGGGGCGTTAATTCTAGGGGGATTTTTGAGAAATAACCTGCTCTATGAGTTCTCGTGGTAAATGTACGGATTGTCTGTGCAGGAGCAAACTTTGCAATCATTTAAATCGAATTCAAAATGCATGTGTGTTCTAGATTAGGCTACAAATAATCCACAGTTGAAGTGCACTCACTTCAAGTTTAGATGCTAGTATTGTAACGTGAAGTAAACATGCAACTATAGTGTGCCATCATTTTGCCAAATATGTTATCAATTCAAACAATTCACGCTGCCTGACAATAATGGGTGGAAATCAACACTGGACGTCCGAAACAAAGAGGTTTATCCCACATAGCCCGGAACGCCCTAATCTCCGCCCCCTAGCGGAAAGCCTGCGAGCCATTGGCCAGATTGTAACACTACGCCCCTTTGATTGGCTGGCGGCGTCGTCACTGACCGTCTGTTGTTCGCCCTCGTTCATGACAGTGAACCGCTTTGATTCATGCTGTTGGGGAGCCTCCTTTTTGGATTTGGAGAACAATTAATGCGGGCTGAGCGGGGCGCATGAAGGTATGTTTTACACGGAGGGTTGTGGGAATATTTGGCTACATGGCTTCCAGAAATTAAGCCTCCAACTTAGTCAGGCTTTTTAGTAAGAAAAGGCAAAAGTCCATAGACGGGTTTCTGACCCGACTTGCTCGTTCTGGATGGGGCTTTGCCCTTTCACATTAGCCTAAGTGAAACTTTACAGCCGTAAACCAGGTAGGACTTTGTGCTTAATAATAATGCTGAAATAGTATTTCGAAAGATATTAAATAGAGTAACAGTCGCTGAGGACCAGGGGTCTTATGTTGAGTTAGTGTTTGGGCTAATGGGTGTGTTTACTTCAGCGATATTGATGCACTACTGATTTTGCCATTATCACTCCAGGCAATCTATATATGATGGCTAGTTTGGTGTTTGTGTGATGTCCGTGACACTTGAGCAATTGAAGTGAATGTTGCCAACACGGAAAATAATGACATAGTCCCTTGTGTCAGACAAAAGGCCCACGGGGCAGGTGGATCCTGAGCAACCGCTGCCATCATGTAGTGCTTTGAACACACTGAGCGGTCCCAGCACAGACCCTGCCTGGTTACTCAGCTAGGATGAGTAAAGTTTAACCCAGGCTTTGTTTGAGAGTTGATTGTAAAGCCGTGAACTGCAGTGTGTGAACGCACACGTACGCATGAGACTGTTGTCCACTGTTCTGCCTTTTATATTGACTTGTAGATGTGCCTCCATCATCATTGGCTGATCTGCATGGATGTACCATCTCCTGACAACACTGGTACATTGGCAGGGTGTCCATATTAAAGTCAAAGTGCAACTCTGCCTTTTAAAAGGCGGGCTACAGAGTGGGATTCAAGGATTGACTCTGGACTGATGCTTCCTGTGGTGTGGGCATCCCTGGAATGTTGGAAGGATCCATGGAAGATAATTTACAGATATCGGGTGTGTGTGTGTGTGTGTGTGTGTGTGTGTGTGTGTGTGTGTGTGTGTGTGTGTGTGAGAGACTATAAGTGAGTAGCCAGTGCTGCACACACACTTTGTTGCTTTGCTGTGAATGTGTGGTGAGCCGCAGAATGCAGCCAAGAATTTGGGCGCTGCCGCAAGAAAGTAAACAGTAGCCTTCACTTGAGATTCAACCTTTGCTGTCAGAGAAGAGGAGAGGTTAGTTTAAAGTGAAGATGAGGACAGTTGCTTTCAGTATTAATACAGACGGGTGACAAATACATAAAGAAATGTGAGGAAAAACATGACAAATGTAGATTCTTTAGAACACGAGGTGTCACTGAATGCTTTGGTGAGCAGGAAAATGATAAGAATCAGATTCACGTCTAATCTCAATTGAAGACCTATACTGTATATTTGGGACCCTTGTGATTCGCAGCATCACCCTGTGGTTGTTCTGGCAGCCCAACACCTTACCAAGACACTTTAATGTGGATTTGAATCTTGCACAGGCTATACCGTCAACCTTCAAAGCATCCTGCGTCTGTTTTATTTATTCATGGTGTGTGTGTGTGACAAAGAGAGAACATCAGGTGTAAGAGACAGGCTGATCATTACAGCTGCTGTTATCTGACCTCCCAGCTTGCACATATCCTCGTCACACACATAATGAGCGGCCGCAGCATTACAAGGCACTGTAAATAACATGAAAGCGACGTTACCCAAGATGAAGTCAGCTGTGTTTTGTCTTTCTCTTGATTTTTAAGGATGATGTCTGCTGTGTGAAGTGTGTTATGTCTGGACCCTGTGACTATGACTGGACCTAGCGGATGAATCACAGGATGGAGTGCGGGATGGCTAATACCTTAAAAGTGTGTGCCAAATAACACATTTCAATCAATCACACTTGTCTAACCCTGTTGGTATTTGGAAACCCACTGAATCTTCGCAGTGGGAACGGAATAGAGATAACAACTGTCCTCAGTCCCTTCAGCAACTTAACATGCGGATATGCTAATGACTTCCTGTTTATAACCCTGAGCACAACCCAGTGAGAGGCCACAGAAGGGACCCCGAGTGCCATAAATGCACTCCGATAATCTACTACTAAGTGCTACACTAATATGCTACACGAAAGAACACATGTTCTCACACCTGGACCGTTTTTTATTTATTGATTCGCTAAATCCTTCTGATTGCATTTTGTGTTTATTTGCTTCTTGTATCTCTTTAACGCTTCCTCTGTCTCCTCAGGATGAGAAGATGAATGTGGAGGCTCTAAGCAGAGCAGAGCTGCTGACTCTCCTCAGTGTCCTGGAAGGAGAGCTGGAGGCCCAGGATGTGGTCATACATGCCCTCAGGGTGAGTTAGCCACTAAGTCTGACACACACAAATCCCCCCCCCCCGTAGACTCAGAACCCCTCACATACATGTAGCAGCATACACAATAACAACAACTATAAGTAGGATTATAGCCATCACAGCTACCTATTAAATACAACTCTTTTCTCTGTCTTTACTGAAGACATCCTTGGACACTAAAATTGACCGGTTTCAGCATGACACCCCCCAAAAAGAATGTGAGCTAGCAGGGAGGGGATGTGTAAACAGGAAGCTAAGGAAACAGAGCTAGTAAAGACAATGGTGCAGGAGTCATTCTGGTTTCCCAGGCCTTTTATTCCACCAGAGCAGACGTTATTGCTGGTCAGACCAGTTGAAATCTGTGTTTATTTCCATTCAGGCACTATTCAGACCTGGATACGTCCACATTGTGTCCTGGCGTTAGTTCAGACTTACTCCAGTTCATACCTGATTTGTGTCAAATGTGTGTTAAGTAACTATTTGTTTTGATCTGGGGAAACTCCCGTTGTCTCTGAATCAAAACAAAAATTTGCCCTCAGCAAAAATGAAGGCTTTGGTGGCTGTTTGGCACCTTGCCTCGGGTGCATACCGCAAACCTTTTGAGAGTTGTTTGGCACTCGCAAATCAGCTGTATCCAACTGAGTTTCGAACCCTAAACACAGACTACGGAGATGACGAGGCAGTCTTTCAAGGCATCTGTGCATCTCAGACCACTTCTGAATGTTTTGAGGGACATTGTCCACAGTTTGAGTGCACATTGTCCACAGCACCTCAGGCATTATGCAGCAACAACCTTACATCCTCAGTTTTGTGTGACTCAGTCGTTCATATTCAAGTGAAGGAGCTGAGCTTACCTTCGGCTACAATGCCTGGCAATGGTTTAGTGGAGACTCATGGCCGCAGCAGCTGCTCTATGCTTAGGTGAAGCTGCTTAGACCCCGAATGCTTGACTCATTGTCTGAAATAGTGATTGAAGTTGTGATAAGGACAAGTAGCAACCACGACTGCCTTGTTCTAATGAACAGGCCTTGATAATGAAGTTTATCTTGCATGCAAGCGAGGCTGTCATCATGGGAGAATTTCATTGCCAGGGCCTGAGGGGAAACTGATCTAACCGCACCGGTTCAGAAGCATCTGTCACCGCAGTTTTTAAAGATCTGATGAAAGGCAGGGTTCGCCGAAAAACTCAACGCACACGTCATTCCCCTCAGGACAAATGTACAGTCGCCTGGCTGTCTGTACTAATTTCTCTTTCCGTATCTTTAACCGCTATTCCCCCTCCTTTCCGCCTTCTCTCGTCCTCACACACACAGCAACATTACGGCGGGGGGGGGGGGGGGGTGGTCTTTAATGTTTGACCACGACCCATGTCCTATCTGCCCACACACACACACGATGGTCTCTGGTGGGCCAGTTAGAGGCTGCAGTGTTTATTGTGGAGAGGATGTACAGAGTTCAAATCACAGATTTCCCTTGTTACCACTCGGGGCCTGTACACCATTTTTCACTGACTGGTTCACGTTAGGGCAGATTGTGTGTAGACACGTGACCGCAGAGGGGGGGGGTGTTAGGGTTTGATGGCAGGCTAATGTGTCCTTTATTGAGCTCTGTGTCTGTGCATTGATTTTGCACCCGAGAGGTCTGTTTGTACACTCTGTCTTTTCTGTTTTTCATTTCCCCTCCGGGATTTCTTCCTGGATCGTGACATGCCACCGTGTTTTCTCTCTAACTAGAGCTCTCCCCTCGGTGTTGTCAGGCTGAGTAAGGCAGAAGAGGCTCTCAAATCTCAAACAATCTTTTCCAACTTCAAATGTTTTCACCTCTCAGCTGCAAGTACTTGGGTTGCTTGTAGATTGCTTGGGACATTCGCATCCAGGGGCCTTTTTAACCCTTCCTTCACCCGAAACCCCCCCAGAAACTTGGAACTGTCTCAGTGCTTGCTTACTAATAAGATGGCGTCACCCTTGGGACTTGTCTCTACAGAGTCTTCACTTTGTGGTTTTTAGTTCTCATCACTAGGGAGACAGAGAAGCAGATTTATTAGAGCTGAAGATTCCTGAGAACACGACACCCGGAACAGGTTCTGCATTCCAACAGGAGTGGCGTATCTTTTGAGTTGATGATTGTCTATATCTATACTGGAACTAATGCCACTATTATCTTCTCTCTGTCAGGCATACATGGCATAAATCCAGCGGAGAGCAAGTTCTCAGTCTCGAAAGTCAGTCCTTCCTCAATTGTTGTTGCGCTGCTTTCGAGACACCAAGTAAACGAGTGAACACAGTGGGAAACACACGTCCGACACTGATGTATAAATATGTCTCAGGTCTGCTTTGAACCTGTTGTTTTTGTGACGCAAATATCGCTGCTTGGCAATGGGTTGAACTTTGCTCACCCAGAACATCAGATGGTTGCTGTGGATAAAATGTTGCAGTCATGCTCAGCAGGTCCTGTTTGTGTGTTCCCTAAAACAATAGGGCCCGGCTAGAATGGGCTGTTCAGATAAGATTGTATATTGTGTTCCTCCTACAAGAATCACTGCCCAATTTGGACATGAGGGTGCCCTTAAAAGCAAGGAAATACCTAATGGAACAGTGTAATGCACACTGGTCTATGATGTCAGTGAAGCGCTTCGATAATAACATCCTGAGCCCGAGGCCTGAGAGAGAGTAAAGCTCGCTGACCGGACAATTCTGAGATGACATCAAAGTACCCAAGTCACAGCAATGATTAGTCCATGTGAGCGACACGGGTCGGGTACTGTTTTCCTCAGGATGTCCTTATACGGCAGCCTCTCTTATCCCGAGACCCAGCTCGAAAATAATGGATCGTATCTGTAGTGGTAATAAGTTCCACCCTTCGCTGGTATTTGCACTGAACAGCACTGAGTATTTGCCTGCTACAAATAGATTAGTGATACAGGAGGTTAGTCTGAGATAAGAAAAATAAATGCTCTTTCAATGCAGTTTGTGCCTGTGTCTGCATCAGTGACAAATCTCATTTTTGGCTCCGTTTCAAGAAATACCGGAGCACTTCCTTGTTCCACCTAATGATATGTCATGCTTCTCCAAAAGCATTGCCTGACCAAAGACTGAGATCACCTGCTCCCATGTTTCCTCACTAACCACTGATGATAGCGACTGAGGCAGTTAAACATTACTTGGAAGTTGTCTCGTTGCACGGCCCCTAAAGTTAGGTGAGGTTTTGTTTGCCGTCATTTTATTGCCATCTTTAATGTGTGGGTGAGAGGTGTGGAGGACACAGCTTAATCCTCAAGCACACACACCTTGGCTTACACTTCAAAAAGGTCTGCACTTACAATCTCATTTGGCTCTCTTGCTCACTCTTTCTCACTCTCTTCTAGTTTCTTTTCTCTGCACCGTCTGCATGAGACACTATGAGACTGGTATGGCTTGCCACGTAATTTAAAACCAGTGTTCGCTTTTAGTGAACTTCCTGGACGGTATTTTAAATGTACACATTTGAGAAATGAATGATGCAGAACGTGCACAAATGGCATGTACTCACCGGTTATTCATTTTCCAATTTTTTTACGATACTGATTCAGTACAATCTCAGTGAGTTCTCAGTAAATGCAGATGAGGGCCTAAACCAGCTGCTGCTATATTGTTAGTATGATGGTACACCTGGCCCGTTAAGGACCAAAGTAACTGCTCTCATCCTGGATGTCGGTCAATGAGAGTACATGTTTATCTGAAGAGATGTCAGGACACAAGCCTCCACTATCTATTACTTTTAAATTATGTAATTTGTAGTGTCGGAACCACAGAGTATTTTGATGATCCAACTCTATAGCACTACAGAGCTTCTCTTTAATCGTCCAGCCTCCTTTAGATGATTATTTTGATTTTTACAGCCGACCATTGTCACACATTTGTCTTTTAGCTTCTTGGACAGTTCGCCAAAAATCAACAAATGCAGCTTAAAGAGGGTACAATCCCAATGTTGGCTCTCCCAAGTAAACGCTACACAATCGTATCCTGTAAGTTGTGTAGATAATGATGATAACTATCCCTAGTGGCTGGTTAGCTAGTCATTAGTCCCCAGCACCAGACTGTCACCACAACCTCCCTATCTAGTGCTCAACCAAACTAAGGCGTGTGTACTGTTGGGTCGGTAACGCACCAGAAGCAGAGGCTTTTCTTCTTTTTGCAGTCAAAGACATTGTCTCACTTTCTCATTTCCCATTTGCTACGAGTTTCCCCAGAAGACTGTTCTGTAATGACCAACAAAATGGGTCAGAGCCCTTTGTGTCTGTTTGAGTTTGCAGCCTCACCAGCTCTGTTCAATCAGATGTGACAGCCGGTGGATTGATACTTCTCAACTGCCAAGGCCTGTTATTCAGGCTGACGGGCGGTCCATTGACTATTTGTTCTTTTCTACTATTAAGTAGAGCAGAGTAGTTGTGTCCACTCCCCGGGAAGAAAAACAGCACTACTGACTTCCTCATCCAAGGAAACCCTGAAGCCAGAGGCATCAATCTGAAGAGGATGGTCTGCAGCTGACCGACTGTCTTCTGTTGTTCTTTGCTTCTCATTGTAGCCCGTCTCCTATTCCACGCTTAGAGCATTACCCGCCACTGTGCTTCTCTTGCGCGGCAGGTTTATGATCGAAAGTCTCGATTTATAAATCCTGTTTTTGGTTTGAAATGACTGAATGGAACTACAACCTCATCTACTCGTTTATTCTGCATTGTCCTCTGTCCTCTTGTTGCAAAGGCGCTTGCGCGGTACTCCTTAAGTTCCACGAAAGAAGCTTTTCATATCTGACAGGTCTGGTCCTGCTGTCCCTTTGTCTCTGTGTGTCTTAACTGTTCTTCTGACTGGTAGACTAATTCACCAGGAACGCATTCTTTTCCCATAACCCCCCACTGCAAAGCTGCTGGATTTGAGATGTTACCCCGGAAACAGACGGTTATGCTAAGAACCTCGTGCAGCATGGTGTGCAAATACATGCCAGCTCATGCACACGCATATAGATACAGTATGTGCATGCATTCCTGGTCATTTTGATAGCAATTCTGTTTTTTTCTTTCATCCACAGTACTATTTAGCAGTTAGCTTAAAGGCTAAACTGTTCATGTGTAACAGGAGATGTGCACCCGATAGCAGTCAGAGCTGCTGACTTCATTGTGTGACAGTCATCGCAGAGGCTCTCTCAGGAAACAGGACTCCCTGGCTCTCTTCAGCTCACACAAGGGCATGATTGTGCCCTGAGGCTGTAGGGAACTGACTGACAGAATCTTCCCAGGTGAAAAGCATCAGATTGTCTTTCACACCTCGGCACAGCTGCGGGAATGCATTAGAGGATAGAAGCTGTTGGAGAAGGCAATGCTAGAACAAGCTGTAGCACACGTGTTTATAGCTACAACACTGCGCGGAATCGTAGAGGAATTCTTTTATACTTGATGCAAATTCAAAAACAGAATTCTTGATAATGAAACGGTGGATGAATAGCATATAATATATTCTCTCTTGTAGAGACATTTGTCATCAGTAGCTGGGCAGAAATAAGAGCTTTGCAGCAGAGAGCGTTTGCTTGTTGTGCCCTCTTATAGAAGAAAGCACACTCTGTCATTATGATCAGAAATATCCCAAGAAAACTACGGGAGACCAGACTCTAGGCTAGGACTGCTACACACACACACACACACACACACACACACAATCCAATCACAGCCCGACCCTTAATGGTGTATTTAAGCAGTTATTTAACTCATTAAGCTGCAGTAGATGAAGAAGCTTTACAGCTTTAGTCCAAAGCCCAGCACAAAAACACAGCCACAGGTAAACGTGCAAATGGCTTACACACACACACACACATTTATAATCACAAAAAAGGGGGAAAAAATATACACACACACACACACACACACATACACACACTCGTACCCTTTCAGACATGGAGACAATGTGTAAAACTAAAGGCATTGAGACAGTGTCTTTGTCCAAGTCCTGTAATCTCTTCACTGATGGTCACATTCTTTGTTCAGACTCAAATACTGCCTCTTTACTGATGTCCTCAGGGTGGGTGTGTGTGAGTGTGTGTGTGTGCTGCCCCAGTCTGAGAGCGTGTGAGAAAAACGATGCTGGCAGAGAGGCGGAAGTAGAGAGAGGCATTTTCTGAGAAATGAACAAGCAGAGGAATTTAGTGCAATGCGTGTTTGGGCAGGGAGAGGAAGGGGGCCGGAGGACCGGGGTGTCTGATGAGGACTGTGTGGGGAGACAGCGACAGGTGTCCCGAAGGCACGTGGATTGAACTCTGTGGCTTGTGCTTACGTCACTAGCCCCGCCAGCTGACGCTGCAGGCCTCCAGAACTCTAACCTTCTCACTGTATGTAGTAAATGAGACATCCGGATGATATATCATTGTGTCCCGCTGTGAGGTCAACAAGGCCCTATCACGTGTCACTTCATTTTGTCATTCCAGCCTGCTTCTCTCAAACACGCCTGAGTAGGGTATGATAAATGGAAAGTAGTTGATTGCGCTCAGGATTTCATTTTTACCCTAAACAAGTGTGCTATCTGTTTCTTTATTAAATTATTTAGTTTTTTTCGCTGAGGTATGATATAGCTTCTTCATTAGAAACAGCGCTGCGTTTTGTGTCTGATCTCATGGACCCGGTCCTTCACCCCTGCATCCCTGGGGAGGAGTTAACATCTGCCCCTGGTGGGGGTTGGACAGCCGCGCTTCACCTCTTTGTGTTTGGGTTGAGAGGAACGACCGTCTGCTTTGCTCACACTGACAATAACATCATTCCACACAGATTTCCTGCACACACTTACTCACGAGTCGTATGTTGGATAGTGATATGATACATAAAGTTATTACACAAGAGTCAGTCTTCTGTTCTGTTTGCGATGCGTTAGCCTACGTGGTGTTTTCTTGGCACTGACAGTTGGGCCTCTTGTTATCTCACAACACATTTTTTCTGTGCTGCAGTGTGGAAAGAAAACCTCAACCTATCAAATCCATGTTCTGCCCTACACAGACACATTGGTTCTTTTTCTTTTTCTGCTGAGTCAGGACTGAACATTTACATGGACAGATTAGTTTTTTTCCTCCTGTAGGCCACAGGTAGATGTACCTGCTGTTAAAGGAACAGCCAAACAGCACAATTACATGTGTGTGCTGTATGTTTGTGTGTCTCTAGGCTCAGCACAGAGATGCTTTCGTCCAGGAGCGTTATGGCGAGTACGACCTCAGCGATCCCTTCCTGGCCCTGCAGCGGGACAGCGAGTCCTCAGAGCGCCAGAACACGCTCACCCAGTCTCGCACACACCAGCAGGGCCGGGCGGTGGGACCGAACCCTCTGGCGGTGCTTAAACTGGTCATGTCTCACTGCAAGAAGATGCAGGAGAGGATGATGGGACAGCTGGCTGCTGCTGAGAGCAGACACGGGAGGGTAAGTAATGAAGTCATGAACACACACATACACATACACACACACACACACACACACAGTGAGTTCTAGAGCTCACTCCTCTTCACTTCAGTGTCTGGACAATGTTGCAACAACCCAAGTATCCAGCCAGGGTCACACTTTGTACAATACGCTGGGTTGAGAATGTTTTCAAATGAATGCACTGAATCCTGTAACAAGACCCCTGTCTGCATGTCAAGTGATTTCATTGTGTGATAGATGATAGCTGATCTGGAGGAGGAGAAACGACGGCGTGCTCAGGAGTCTGCGCAGAGTGATGATTTCACCTTCATGCTGCAGACAGAAAGGGACAAACTGCTGCAACAGGTACGGCTGATGTACTGTTGCAATATGCGTGTATGTATTTGTATGTTTTATAAAGATAGACGATGCCTCTCCTCCACCTGTCTGCACCGTGTCCTTCTTCGGTGTGGCAGCTGTGATTTAAAACCAAGCGACTGAGCAGGGAAGCATTGTTGCAGTTCTATTGTGTAACCCAGTAGGGTGGACAGGGCATGGCCTGTTCAAGTACAGACAAACACAAGCACTCGTATGCACAAGCACTGGGCTGTTCCACAGGAAACGGAGGAGGAAGAGGCCATTGTTTAGTTGTCCAGCAGCCATGTGGCTTCATGGCCTCAGGAAACCTGAGATAATGAATGTCCATGTCTAATGCAAGATCATCTGGCGCACACACACTGTGAGCACACAATCAGACACTATACAAACTTTAGACAACGTCCTTATGGCTTAGGGAGGTTTCCTGAGTGTCTCCCAGTCCTCCTCAGGCTTTCCTGCCTGTGTTGTTTTTGTACAGTAATCGTATACACTAGGTTGTACTTCATCACCTCCCATTTCCTTCTTTAACTCATCAAAGGTTTTGAGTTGCCTAGTCAGCAAGTAATGATGTAATGGCAATCTGAACTTTCCACAAACAAGCAAATTATTATTTAAAGGGAAAAACATGAACAGCAGCTTCTTTCTCTGTCTCGTCTGACCCTGTAACGACACATACAGACATGTCTTCATCCCCTTTCCTCATTCTGTGTCATTCAAGTGGACCTTATTTAAATGTAGTTCATTTAGCTGACCGGCAAAGATGGAGACACTCTGTGAACACTGGGAGAAAAACAGGAATTGAGCGAATTTAATGAAATGACAGCGTCACGAGTGTCATAAATGCTATTGGCAAACATTTTTTTAAATAAACAATAGGATACAACATATCACTTAAAAAAATACAGTTGCAGGTTATAATGGGGTTAGTGCAAAAATACATATCCCAAAAAAAACCCATTTTGAACCAAAACAACAATTATATTTTCTATGGTGCTGTTTCTCATCCTGTAATGGATCTAATGTAAGCAGTGTTCTTTTGCCTCCTTGTGGTCAAACGTGGAAATGCCGCCTCGCCTTGACGCTTATCTTGTATCTCTCTCCCTCCCTTTTTAGTTGGAAGTGGAGCGTGCAACAGTGCGGAAGTTAGAGAAGGAACAAGCGCAGGCAGTGAGCCAGGTGGAGGAGTCACTGACCCAGCAGCAACAGCTCTCATCAAACCTGACTCTGGAGCTCCAGAAAGCCAGCAGCCAGGCGCAAGAGGAGGCTCACAAGGTCTCCCAACTCCGCACTCTGCTCCAAGAGGAGACCAGTGCCCTGGAGAAGCTCCGGGGGGTTCTTGAAGACGAGAAGAGCAGGGTGGCCCAGCTAGAGGTGAGGTCTGAAAGGGAGCTGGCTGAGTTTGACACAGAAAGAGAGCAGATGAAAGCCAGGCTCAGCAAAGAGGAGGAGAGGAGTAGGGAGCTTGAGAGGCAGCTGGAGGAGCTGAGGAAGAGGCTGGCTGAAATTGGAGGGGGTAAAGAAGTGGTAAAGGAGGCTGTGACAGCGGGGAAAGAATCACTTTCCGTGGTGGGGTCCACCTCTGTGCAGACTGAGCCAGATGGAAAGATAACTGTCGCCCCTAAATCCTCCTCACTACCAAAGGTCAATGGCCATCACACTCATAAAGAGTCAGAACCAACACAGGAGGGGAGAGGACCAGAAAATGGAGGGGTGGTAGAGAATGGGGGAGGAGCACTTTTGCATTCCCCTCTTCACCCTCACCCTCATCCGCACCCTCACTCTCCCTCCAGCACGGCCTCCTCTTCCCTCTCCTCTTCGCCCATTTCCTCACCCGTTCTTGCCAAGCGTCTGGGCAGCCCGGGCTTCCATCAGTTCTCCTACCAGGCCGGTGTCAACCAGCGATTCCATGCTGCCAGGCACAAGTTCCAGAGCCAGGCTGAGCTGGAGCAGCAGCTTGGTGGCCCTCTTTCCCCGAGGGACCTCTCCCCCACCGCCTCCTCCGTCCTTCCCCCACTAGAGCACAGCTCAGCTAAGCAGCTGGCCCGCAACACTGTCACTCAGGTGCTGTCCCGCTTCACCAGCCAGCAGGCGGGCGTCAAGCTGGCACCAATCAGCAGCTCTCCGTTCGGTACAGACTACCGCAACATAGCAGCAACTCCTCCCGGGGGGCGGTCGCCTTCTTCAGGGCCTCTATCACCGGGCATCCAGTCCCCCCTCACTCCTCGCTCAGAGAGGGCCCATCCTCCTCCCATCCCTGCCAAGAAGCCCGGCATGAGTCCGACTCCGGGCTCCCCAAGTCACTCTGCTCGGATCAGCCTCTTCCCAGAGCTGACGGGGAACTGTGGACACAGCAACAGTGGGCAGGAAGGAGCCAAGGAGCCAGACCTGGTTTTATCTTCCAGCAGCTAACGGACAGATTATACAAACTAACTAAGTCAGGCCTGAATCAACAGTTACTGTAATCACCATCGTTGCCGGCCCTTAAACCCACTTCACAGCACTCATAATCAGTAGAACAGACACTTCACAGCTGGACTAAGAGTTTGTCTCCTCGATACCACAAACTGAGAAACAATCAGAAAAGAACTATTTGAAATAAAATATAGTATATTGTGATTTTGAAAAAAAATAAGATTTAAATATTTCTATTAACATTCCTGTCTTTACTCTTTTATATAGATTTTTTTTTTTTTGTAAGTTTAAAGTTTTAGAATGAAAATATCTCTCTGTTATTTTACATTTTAACATCATATTAAGGGTGTTTAGAAATCATATCCATAAAGACCTGTTTGGTTTGGAAGAAAGACATTTGAACAAGATTTCACAGAGTACAGCACTCCTTTTCTTTTCCCTTAATGCTCAAATGATGCATCATGTTAGAATCAAAAGAAGACTTTAGTCAGAAGCAACACTGTATAGCAAGTAGAAGGGCTGAAATACGTGGATGTAGAGTATAGCAAATGTGTAGCTATCACCATTTCACAAAAAACTAGTGAGTAGTTTTTAAATGTTTTTCCAATAAATCCGTATGCACTTCCTGTTGAGATAGTCTATGAAAACACTATTATACTGTAAATAGTTTGAAGAATTCACAGTTGATTCTCTGTGAATGGACATCACACACGCGTGTGCTGTTTTTTCTTTTACACTTGTCATGAATACACTGAATCTTGTCCCTAAATGGGGGGGGGGGGGGGCACACTTTGTACAACATTACTGTAAGATACTGTATGTCAACAATTTATATTATTTTGATTCAGGGAAGTTTAACTTCTGCTGTACCCAAATCAAGAAGGACTAAGTTATGATTATGTGACAACTCTTTGGGGGATATTCCATCAATGGACATCATGGGGACGAAAGGTTTGAATCTTGCTACTGTAACCGTTTCTATAGTATCTGTCAAATAATTTACATCGTGTTGTGTCTTGTCCTAACAGTGCTACACCTGTTTGTTTTAGGTTTCACATGATTTTTTTTTTAAAAATCTTTAAACTCAAGAATTGATGGAAACTAAATGTTGTAGCTGATCAATTTAAATCTGTAGATTTATACACTGTCTGTGAGGGGCAATGTCCATCAGTCTCTTGTAATAAATATGCATATCAAGAACACCTGCATTATCTAGTGTTTTATTACTTCTAGATATAAATTCAATAGGCAATAAAAACAGTCTCAGGGACGAAAGGGTATTCATTTAATAATAGGCTATAACCGTGAATGTAAAAAGTCCCATAATAATAAAAGTCTTGTGAAACAAGTTAAAACATAAATAAACGACGTTAACAAGGTTAAAAACTATCAGAATATCTACCTGCTTAGTTAATCTATTATCTATGTTAGAGATGACGCTTGTGATTGATTGTTCATGCCTGCAGAGGTCAGAGGGGGAGGTGCCGGTGTTGTGCTGTGCCATGTTGTATGCCAAGAGGAAGCTTCCCGTCCCAGCATTGTTAATGAGTAACATTACCTATGGTCTTTAACTTGTGTTGTGGCAGCATTAATTTGATTTTAGACCGTTAATTGATAATACTGTTAATAATTCCTTTTTCACATTGCCTGATAGACATAATTGTCTATTTGTTACACTCGACTCAAACTCGGAGAAGTGGGCAGATGAATTGTATAAAACACTCAACGAAGGTCCAGAGGGTCCGAAACATTGGTATGACAAGAGCAGTGTGCAGGATCTTCTTTTCTCAAGACTCAAGTGATACTTTCCAACGCACCGGCATCTGAGACGGTGCAAACATGTTTTCCTTTTGAATGTAAAAAGAACAATCTAGCCAAGATGTTCAATCCATTTATTTTACAACAGAATGGGGCAGTAGTCGTAAACTTTATAACCGATCGGCACACAGTTAGTTGTAGTATAGTGTGAGGGTTGAACACAGCACATTGTATCGCTAACAAGTAACTGATCCAGAGTCAGCCTACTTAGACATTATGTAACACAACCAGTATGATATGGCCTTACAGAAGTCATGTAACGTATATAGTCTCTTGCCTTACATGGCAATTGCTTTGCATTCACTTGGGATTGACCAATACAGTTCATTACAGTTAAGAGTAATATATTCTAAGACTCAACAAAAACCAGCATATTAAAATAGAAATTTGCATACATGGGAAGATGGAGCTCTTTACCATAGGAAAGACATTTTGGCAAATAAATCTTGGTTAATATGAGTACGTTTTCCTTTCACAAAGGAAAAGCTGTACAGCAATGGAGGTGGTGTTGCTTTATCTTAATTCAGTCATCATTGCTTGCATGGGTGGAGACACACACAGAAAACAACACTCCCTCAGCCCTGACAGACACACAGGTTTACAGTGCAGGAACAGAGCTATGCTGAGGATCATGCCACTCATAAATGTTAATGTTGAAATACTGTCAATTTCATTAACAACATATAACTTAACTATAAGTTGTCAGTTCAGGATTACTCTAAGCTTGGTACCAGTTACAATGTCAGATGACCGCTATTCATTTTCCTGTCAATGTCCCGATTTTACAATTCTACCATGCACGACAACTACAGTGAAACAAAAAAAAATCTCATTTCCCTGTACTAAATCAAACCCTGATATGCGACGGTGTGCTTTATTTCTCTCATCAGATGCCTTGTGCCTTCCTGGTCCTCTACTGTGACATGATCTCAGTCCTGCATGAGTCTAATTAAGGAAAAGTGTTGACACCTGAATCTCAGGAGGTCTAAGATTACTTATACAGCAGAAGGGAGATTTACTTCTTTTATGTAGCGGTCCTGAGCACAGCCCTGCACACTGACCCAACACAACTCTTTCACAACACACACCTAGAAGGAACCACTTTCTCCAAACCACGATTATCTTCATAACCGCGACTTCCTCACAGCAGACGGATATCGGTGCCTTATAGTCTGCGGATCTTCAGTTATACTTTTTTGTTTTTTTATTACTTCCTTGCCCCATACTGATATAGCTTTGCTTTGGTTAGTCCTTGCGCATGTCTATGCGGGTTCTTGGGCCCAGTGGAGTGTGCGACTCTCTAATAAGTCCCTGGCCTTCCACTAGACATTCTGCATCTCCTTGCCAATTTTGTAACTGAGGATCTTATTCCAGTCGATCTTAGTGCGTGTGACGGGCAGCTGGCGACGCAGGGCCTTGAAGGTGGTGTCAGACATGGTCTGGTAGTTCTCACTGATTGCAGTCTGCAAGCAAAAAAAAAGGGGAAAATAAAGTAAAATATTTTTACATTTTCTAATCTCAAAATGTTTCTTTATGCACATTTTGATCAAAGTAACACCTGATGTTAAACAGTATACACGTGTAGTCAATAAGAGGTTGCTTACCTGGTAATCATTTTCTGCGTTCTCAATAATGTCGACAAATTCCTTGGTTGTCTGGCTTTCATTCTGTTTCAAAAACACAATCACCACTTTTTATCCTTCTTACAGAGCTGGAGGACCTCTTCTACATACTCAGAGATGACACAGCCAGTCTCAAACTTTGTGAGCAACAGAAGGTTTAATATGAGCAGTTTAAAAGACTGCAGGAGAGCTCATGTACAACATGTTCTACTTACAGTCACTGGTATTGATTCCTCTACCTCCTTATGGCTGACCAGCTGCACATTCCCATCTTCATAATAGTGCACCTGGAGGCAGAGGAAAAACTTTGTTAATAAGCTGGAGTTTTTTTTATTATTATTTATCATTTCTGCAGATGAGCGCACTGAATTAAATTCACCTGGATTTTCAACACTCCCACCACCTGAGCGGTGGACTGACCGATGGTGAGCTTCCACTCTGACCTACAGCGACCATTCCTGTGTTAGAGAACAGCAGAGGAGCCCAACATTACAAACAGACAGCAGCATCAGGATACGCAAAACTGGTCATTTATAACCTTTGTGATGAAGCTATGTTAAAACATATCCTTATACATATATTCAGATAAGCTTTTAAACTGTTGTTTGCAGGCAGGTGACTGTACCAGAAGTTCTTCGGTTGAAACTGATGTCCTTCAATGCAGGCTATGATTGTTTGCTGACCATCAACTGTTTTCCCATAAACCTGCAACACACAGACAGTAGAGGTCAAATGTAGTCCATTGCTTAGAGGACTATTTTTTCACAGTTGTCGTGCAGCTTACCGTGCAGACTCCAGTCGGGTAGTGCTCTTTGACGTAGGCACTGAGGGAAGTATCGCAGGCATCTCTCCAGCTTCTCAGGGCCGTCTCTCCGTCAAACAGCTGCACGTCGCTCACCTCTTTTCTGAGGTGGTCAAAGCGGAACGCCAAATTGTTGCGGGGGTCCAGGAAACGTCCCTGGCCTAAGTCCCCATGCTCTGTGATCAGGACCTATCAATAAGGGAGAGGAAAGACTGAAAAGGGTCTGGCTTTGACACTTGCTCTTCTGGGATGAACAGGAGAGACTTAAGCATGAAACATACCGGCTCATCGTAGCCCTCTAGTTTGGCAGGAGTGAACTGATCCATGTTGTACTGGGCAAAGGAGCTAGACAGATAGAATGGGCCAAATGGTACGGTGGGCATTTATAACATCACAAAAGAATGCTTTCAAAAAATGTTTTCTAATATATTAACCACACATGTTTGTTTTTAATTGTGTAAATAATGAGTATTTGAATTTGTGATGTTTATCTTAAACTGAGTGTTACTTACTGTGAGGCCCCCTCCCTGAGCAGATTGTCATTGTTGAGAAGAAGCCGCACATCTAGCAAGACAAAAAGAAACTATGCATTGTATTGCTCTTAAAAGATGAATTATTATCATGTGCATCTTGTCATACTCGGCTACTTCTTACCATTGAAGACCTCGTTGAACTCTCCCGGGGGGGGCATGAGTCACAAAGTTGGCCGCTATGCGAACCTATGGAAGCAAATTAAATGCAACAAATGAATTAAGTTATCCTGATACTATGACTTGCTGTATAATCAATTCAAAGAGAGATGCTACAAATAATTAAGGTTTTCACTCCTCAAGTATAAAAACAAACATGTACTCAAACAGGTCTAGCATCAAAAAAGTAAAACATTTACTACCAATTGTGGGTTTTTTTTAATTTGGCATCCAGTTGTAGCCTTATCATATTGCCATAGCTGATACTAAGATGCATTTTCAGTGAGCCTTTTTCCTATGATGAACCCAGCTTAATATTTTGGGTTTACTAGGAATGACTATAGTATCTTGATTACAAAATTAAAGTCATTTGACAATAACAAAAAATAGCAGCAAGCATGTTTTAGGAAATAGTTAACTTCAGAGAGTATAATTGACATACGTAATATAATAAGAGCTCTTGTAATTTGCAAGGAAATAGAGGAATACTGATCAAGACACTGCTTTGTGAACACAGAATGGGCACTGCATTAGAAACAACTGATCTAGACTCATGTCATGTCGCTGTAAAATCATGCCATCAATGTGCCCTCAATTTTCCAGTTAAACGCCAACAGACCTTAATCTCAAACATCTCTCGATTCTATCGGGAGAGTGTCGCCACTCTCGTTTCTAGCTTTGAAACCTCCCTGTGTGTTGGTATTACGGTTGTTTTAAATGGTACCGTTACACGTAAAATGTAATTCTGCCATTCATAATAATTTGTGCTTTGCCTCCAACTGATTATGTGCCACTGGTAGGGTGTCACTATCAGGCTCCATCTAGATTATAGGAACCCTTATTCTGCCATCGAGCGCGTGTGTGGTTAGCAAGTATTTGAGCTGCAACTGAATCTGTTTGACCCAAAAATCCAAAGTAACGGTAGCCGCCACTGCTAGCTAACATGTGAAGACTGCGGAGCACACATTGTAATTACTGCAGACTAAGATGGACATTGCAACCCGACTTTTTGAAAATGTGCGTCGATACTTATATTTATATTAATCTAGGTAACGTTACAACCATTAAAGAGTTTTCAGTGGCTAAACACTCTTCCAGCTTCTGATTTCGCGGCGAGCTCAACTGTGAGCTTTAAATAGCATTGGCTAGTTAGCTAGTGGTAGCTTTAAAAACACTAGCTCATCACTTTGATACGTGAACAAAAACTGGCACTCCTTCCAAAACTTAGCCGGGAAGTTCGTGTGCACATTTAACACGCGTAGCTCTCTA